AAAATAGATTTGGGGCTTAGTTTTAAAAAATTCATGGTTAGTAGAATTATTTTTATTTATTTATTTTTTCCATATTTAGAGGGAAATGAATACCCTAGGACAACAATAGTGAACTTGGGGCAAAATAATGTTTTCCTAAGAGTAGGCCATGAAAATTGACAGTATTCAAAGCAGTCTTGGACAAGTGCTATATAAAATCTCTTGCACAATTATTTCTTTATAGTACTTACATGATTGTGTTTCCTATTAATTTTCTATAAACATGTTTTTTTTAATGATAAAAAGCTTAAAAATGTAAAATAAAGAGTTACCTTTGGGAGAAAATACATTTATGGTTGCTTATTTCTACACCATGGCAGATATGAAATTATAAATTTTTTTAGTACAATTTTCCTGTCAACTGTAGTGACAGGAAATGCAATACACTGTAGAAAGTATCAGTTCGCCACCTAGAGGATAGATGTGAAATTCAACATTTCTCTAAACTGTTGCTTCAGTAGAATTCATTCACTCGTTCACTCATTCGTTCAATTCTTTACTCATTAACAAATAATTAAGTATCTACTATGTTTAATTATTGTGCCAGTGCAGATTTAATAATCTATTCAAGAGCTATGAGCTCAAAAAAACCACAAAGTGTATCTTACTTTAATTGCACAGTTGCCTCTCTTTAAAATCCTTTAGTTTTAAAGGAATGTAACTTAAATATCTGGACAATTCTAAATATCCATATTTGGACTGCATATTACTTTTAGCTTTTAGGCTATGATAAGACTTCATTATTTTTTATTCATCCCATCCCCTTACAGTGTAAGAATTTATATAAGCCTTGTCTATATAAATTAGAAAATAGAGCTCCAGAGAAATTAAATAACAAGTTCAAATTAAATAACAAGCTATTTCATTATAATACTTGTGTTTGAATCAAAGCCAATCTGGCTCCAGAGTGATATCACTTCACTCAATTCTAGTTCAATCCAGATGCTCATAAACAACCAGATTGCAGCCAGGGCTGAGGTAGTGCATCAGACTATCAACAAAGCAGGCTGGGAGAAGGTTTAATGAAACCCAAAAACTAGACAGAGTATAAAGATGGTAGAGTGTTCTTACGTATGGATTCCTTGTGCCTGGAGGAATGAATTCCTAAATAACTCTGGAAGACGAGAGTAAACAGAAGGCTGGGGACAATGGTGTGTACAAGGGCCTCCTTTGCAGCTGGGTGACTAACATCATCAACAACCACATCTCATGTGATATAGAGAAATACAATTTACAAATTAATGCAACATAAAACTCTCCTGCAGTTTGATTGGATTTTATTGTCATTTCTGTTGGGTAGACAGGGCTAGTATTCTCATGCCAAGTATATAGATGAGGAAACTGACATACTCAAGAGGTTCCCTGAATTTCAAGGCCACTTTGCTACCAGAACCATCCCTAGGTTTTCTGATTTCAATCCAGCATTCTTTCTATCATTTCTCACTGTCGGAATCAACTTTGCTTTCTCTAACTTTTCTTATCACATCTGTGGTTTCAGACAACTTACCCCACCCCTTAACTAAATAACTTAATGCCAAGGCAGAAATTCCCATGAAAACAGAAAACACATGTACCAGAGAGATTGATAATATTGATAATATAAGAGATAAAATAGACATAAGGAGAAGGCATGTTGCAAAGTGGTGTCCATTGATGGAAAAGAGAAAAGGGATGTATTGAGAGGAAAGGAAAAGAGAAAATTAAAGGCAATGAGTCAGTTCTGAGATGGTGAGAACAAATGTTATAAGTATACCTGAACCTTTTTAATAGATGTGATCCTGAAGAGTTGTATATAAGGTGAACAAAAGTGTAACACCCTGTGGAAATTGTCTAGCTGTTGGGATCCTACTGTGAATCAGTTTTTCAAAGTGGAGAAAACTCTGATTGACCTCTACTTTGTTTTCAGAGAGGACTTTTCCCAGCTATGTCCAGAAAACTTGAGAATGCCACACAAGCGTAACCCTGAGACAATTTTTGTTTACCAGGAATATTTGCTTAAAAAGGAACATGTTTAGTTCTACTGCCTGGGCGTGTGATAATGTGCATGGTCACTTTCTATTGTAAATTTGAAAAAACTTAACCTTTCTGCATCTCTTGAAGGGTGGAGAACATTTTCTTAGGCTTTGAACTACTTCAGAAGAAATCTGACTGAAAAAGGCAGCACTGGAGACTGTATCTTATTTATTTTGTATCTTTCTCTGCACCTAACATAAATTTTTTTTGATGATTGATAAAGAGTGCAATATTTTATTTATATTCCAAGTATAATTATCTGATAGTTTTAAATTATTTTAATAAAGACATTTGCAGACAGTTTACATTCAAAAATTGAACCAATTTGACATAGGTTTCCCTCTAGTTGAAAAGAAAACTCATAGATTTCAAAGCAACTGTTTTCTTTTTGAAAAAAATAAATTAAAATTTACCCAGAAACAATAGAGAGTGGCCCTGAACCTTGTGCTTTTATTTATGCACAAGGTTAAAGTTCAAATTTCTCAACACACCATAATCTCAGTGTAACTGGCCAAATTCCACAGTGGATAATAAGATCTAGTTTACCAGGGCAGATTTGGATGGGAAGAGTGAGCAGTCACACTACTTCTGGGAATC